AATCCATGCGTAGGCGCGAGAATCGTTTGCGATTACCTAGGCACAATTAAGGTTTTGTGAAGCCGTAGAAACATAACCACGCACGTATACCGAATGTCGGTCACCACAACGAAAATCTCAAACGAATTCTTCTCATTGGGTTCCCGCAGTCCCTTCTTGCAACACCACAAAACAGATGGTCGAGCGGATACCCGACTCCCGAGGCTTGCGAGAGCAGGAAATGAAGGTTACGATCTATTTGAGGTTTAGCCGCATTTTTGGTTGGTGGCCTTTTGCGTCGCACCTGGTCCCTGCTCTTGTCCCCGACCAGCACGATGAAAGAGCAGTGGTTCTTCTTTACATTGTTGTTGATTAATGCGGGGGTCAAGCTGCTTGCGGATGACGGCGGCAAGTTGTCCCAAAGCAGTCCGTGACCAATTTATTTTGTCCCAATCTCGGCTCATTCCGCTTGAATCTCCATAGCCGCACCCAAGTCGACGCGTCATACCTCGGCGTCAATCTCAATGCTCGTCGACTAAGTACTAGTACCACAGTGTAACCAAAGTAGATCATAACAAGTGTACATTAATGAGAATAAACAAATCCATAGTCGACCGATCCGGTGATCCCTCCCCAGCGACAATGTGCGCTTCCTCCATTACAACACAAACTTGGTGGGCGGGAATACGTTTCGTCGCAGGGAGCGACCCTCTTCATTTTGAGCCACGCAAAGATTTTCAAGAGAATACCGCTCAACCTCATCATAGCGACCATGCAGTCGCACCGCGCAGACACCGTCCGCAAAGTCTACCACCTCTGCGTATTCGCCGACCCCATGCATTTGTCGCTCGATGTTAGGTCCAAGGACAACAACGCGTTCCCTCTCGTCGCCCGTGGGTCGGCGCGGCTGAATTCGCGAGCGATGGACTCGACAGGTGGCCGGTCTAGAGGGATTGTAGGCGTACAGCTCGTCCGTTGTGAGGTCTACGTTGCTGTCAATGAGTAGATGGAATGGTAGGGCGTTGTCGATCCAAACATCGAGGTGTTTGCCGACAATACACGGTTTCGAGAGCCAGTCGGCGATGACTGCAACATCTTGGGTCAAGTGTCTCTCCGATTGGAAAAACTGCGTCTGGGGAAATCTCATGCGTGTCTTTGACCAGCACTCTTCGTTTTTAGCCACGCACAGGCTCATCAGAGGGAATTCCGCCTTTCCGTCGTATCGGCCCTGGAAGTGAACCTCGACGACACCGGGGCTAGTTTCCTCCGTGATTTTCGCGTACTTGCCGAGGCGGTTTTTGCCGCCGTGAGCGTCTTGAGCAATTACCAGGGTACGCTCTACTGAGTTGGATGTCGGGTGAATGGGGTAGATGTGAGAGCGGTTGATATCATCGTGATTACCGGCCCTTGCATCAAAGTAAACGGTCACTCGAGCGGTTTCCCCGGAAAGCGCAACTTCCAGCAGCAGATAACCACACCGACCATCCCGTGTTTTCACATCCATCCGTTTCTGGGCTAGTGAAGGATGTGAGAGCCAGTCGTTGACTGAAAATGGTGTGAGTAATCGGAACCCTGTTATCACAGACACGAACCTTGTCCTCGCTTGTTTTCTGCGGACGGGAAGTTTGTCGCCGGGAAATTATCGTTGAGATGGATATTTGCGGAACAACACAGACTAGCCAAGTTGAAAAACTGGATGGGCTCTTGCGGCGCCGGAAATCGAATTGCAACGGTATCAGAACCATATTTGTGTGGTACCTCCGGCTGGGTCAGCCCGTAGCACCCCAGCTTGGTGGCTTGTCCTTCGCGATCTGGACCTATGACGATTACACGACTGCTTGCCTCTGTTAGAGGTCTGGGATCCTCATCGCTGATCTGGCGCGAGGGTCTGATGGACTTTGGCGAAATTTTGACGTTCGTAGCGGACATTTGACTGCCGCCGACAGGGACCTTGCCAGATTGCAGCATTTGGTGATCGACCTGGGTATTCAATGCAATATATCCATGCTTGCCTTCAAAACTCAACAACTTTTGCGCGGGCCTCTTGTGATGCTTTTGGACATCGACGATCTGGACGTCGAAACGCTTGCCCACGAGCCCAGGGAGCATGAGCCATTCGCCATTGTCTTCACCTGAGCCGTCTCTTGTTAGTTGTGCCGAGTACAGCAGCAGAAAAATACCTGGTAAAAAGGACCGCCTCGTCCATTCCCTCTCCTGATCGATTGCGTCGGGAGGAGGAGTGCTTGGCCGTGTCGTAGTTTCTGGCACGACAAACCTGGAGTTCTCGGCTCCCCGGAGCTCTGCCGGGGTGAGGACAACCACTGCTATAGAGAGTGGTAAAAGTGAGCTGGAAATAGTGTCAATATTAGGCGCTGGGGCACGTAAAGTGAGCTCACTGGAGATGAAAGAGTCGAGAAAGGTCGAACTCTTGCTTTTGTTGAGATGCTTCCCGTGCAACAACAAGCTTGACAGTTTCCTGTGCGCCTACGTAGCGCATTCCGCAGACCCTCCCGGAGACGCCCTTCCATTCACCTTGACCACCCACAAGAACCTCGACATTGTCGTATCGGTGAGGCGCCGCTTGTCGTTCCTCAACGCCCCAGTCGCGATAAATGATTTCTTGGATGCATAGCAGGCGTACGTCGAGGGGTGGCTGGTGTCCCACAAAGTCATCTGCCGTGTTGAAATTGCAGAGAGTCGCATGTACATGGATCTTGTCCTCGAGTGTTTGAGAGCCACGCGAGCGCTGGAGCTATATTCGGGAACAAGTTCATACAGCGTTGAAAAACGAACCTGTACTTCCAGCACACCAGAGGGTAGAATGCGAGCAACAAAGCCCATCTTGCCTGCATCAGCACCCCAAACGACCTTGACGGCGTCGGCAAATCTGAATTCACGCTCAACTTGGTGGGATTCGACGTAGAACACCCCAAACGGTGCAGACACTCGGGTACAGTTCACAACCGCGAGGGTCTCGCCCTTCATAGAGACGATGCGGCCGACGTTACCAGTCTCTGGGCCTTGGACGACACGCACACGATCTAGAAGACAGACAGTCTGTATCATGGTAAGAGAAAAGGTCTATACTGCTTCCGGCCACGGCACATGTGCGGTCTGATGGCGGCGAACAACTTGGCCGCGCCCAACTTCTGGCTCGCTGTTATAAGGCTCACATGACCGACGCATGCATCGGCGACAACCGCCAGTCTCAATGCTCGTCGACTGCTACCAAACCCACCTCAGCCTCACCGCGCTCTCCATCCTGTTCGTTCTCACATGCTACCCGTCGCCTGCCTCGTCGTGTCTCTTCTCTGAAGAAAGCGACAATGAGAATGACGCAGTGAAATCCCCGCAAAAGCGCCCCATACTCGTTGAGGATGACTCGGATGTCGAGAAGAATGTGCCACGCCGACAGCCTCCAGCTAAAAAGCGATGTGTTTCTCCTCCAAGCTCTCCCAGTCCTCAGCCCACCTATATTGGTGATTTGGTATGGGCACACACGTGGAGTAACGTTTCTGCAGCAAGCCTAAAACGCTCCAGACGTTCCTTTGGCACGGCCAAAACCGCCTCGATCTGCAGGCGATGCTGGAAGACGACGATGACGACGACGACGCTCAAAGGACCATAAAGGCCGTGATCACATCCTATGGTGTACTCGCATCGGAGCATGCAAAGACGGAAAAGTCCAAGTCCCCGGTATTCGAAGGTACGTCGTTGCCAAGACGAAAAGTCCAAGCCGCTGACTATCCAGTGCAGTCGAATGGCTTCGCGTGGTCCTTGACGAAGCGCACGCATGCAAATCCAGGACCAGTAAAACGGCGAAAGCCGTGTATGCGCTAAATGCTTGCCGGCGATGGGCGGTCACCGGTAAGGTCGTCGCTTGCTGCTCAGAGCTTGAGCTGACTGCCGTCCAGGAACACCTATCATCAATAAATTCGAAGATTTGTACTTGTTGCTGTTCGTGTCAATCCTCTGCTACCCATCTCAAGCTCAACAACTCGCAGCAACTTTCTCGATTTCAAGCCATGGGCCGACTTCTCATTCTTCCGCTCGTATGACTTTCCGTGCTTCAGGGCGGATCGACCAACTGACGCGGCATCGGCGATGGTGCGTTGTGCGTTACGTTCCGTGATTGCACCGTCTGTGGACAGAGACATTGGGTGGATTTGGTGTTCATGGAGGAGTTCCAGGAGATCGTTGTGCATCTTGACCAGGTCGTCGGCAGAAAACGGATGACCCGCGGGCTACGGCGGCGATCATCATGGGCGGAATTTTCAAGAGCGGTACAATGAGCATCCATACTACGCGTAGCTGTTCGAGGCGTTAACAAGATGTGAATGTCTCACGGCCTCGTTACCATGTCTGCCTGGTTCAGTCGCGCTTTATTGAGAAGCTCGTCGAGATCGTCGCCTTCGCTGACCAGGATGGGACCATCCGCACCACCAAGAATGAGACATGTTTCTTTCGTTTCTTGGTAGATTGAGATGGCCTTCTCTAGCGAAGTGATACCAGGTAAGAATGTCACTCGCGAAACTGGCGCTTCGTTAGCCCGTTCGGGGGGATATTGCATCAGAACACGTCAAAGTCGTCTCTTAGAATATCCAAGTGTGTTGCCACACGGAGTAGAAAGCCACAAGTGCGGCTTTGACGCGTCCGACGGCAAAGTGGATAAATGGGATGTTATACTGACTATTACTGAGTCCATCACAACTAGACTTGCACTTGTTGAGGGAGAGGACAGAGGCACCAGGCCGAGCGATGTAGAACGAACGTGTAGGAAGGAATGAAGAAATTTTCCAGAGTGGCACCAAAGTTTATTCGACTGCTCGACTGCTTGGTCCGTGATGCATCTCATCCCATGGCCAAACTTTTTGGCGTTTCGGTACTAGGTTAACGTTTAGTAGGCTTCCATCAAATACCGTCTATCTCGACGACGGCTTTATCGTTTGCTCTGTTTCTTTCGCTGGCTGGTGTCCCAGACATTCCTCTTCATGTTTCCGACGCATTTTCGATGCATTTTAGGCAAGATGGCCGAGTGGTCTAAGGCGGATGACTCAAGCTATCCGCTTGCGCGGCTTCCGCGTTCCTCTCCTGCAAAGGGCGTGGGTTCGAATCCCACTCTTGTCATATTTTTGTCGCCCCGGAATGTCCTTTTACTCCCAAAAGGTTCCAGAGTCGTTGGAATGTCATACGAACGGAAACCGCTCATCAGAAGCGTTGAAAACGGCAGCCGTCGGCGCCTTGCATTGCATTTGTATTGCATGTTACTGCCATGTCGTCAGAGTCGCCTGCGTTTGGAGAGAATGTGACTCCGATGAGTGCTGCAAATGTAGCTGGGGCGGCAGCACGGGCTCGTTGTGGCTCGATAGCGATACGTCTTCTCGTTCAACCACCACAGCACTCAACAGCTCGATACGAATATAAGATTGCACCATCGGTCTCGTTCTTGCGACACGCGGCGGACTATCATTCATCGTAAAGTATTGTGGTTCATGGTATAGACAGCGTACGTAGCACTCGTACGTGCAAATAAACTAAAATGTGTAGAGAGAGAATGATACAGTGTCAAGGAGTCAATGTTGTTCGCGCGGAACCCACCGAAACCCGGGTTTGCTAAGCCTAACTAGCTTTGCAATCGCTCTGACGTCGAGCTCGCCCCGAATGGAGTGCGGGTCCACCACCATAACCCCCTAATACCGTGGCAGAGGCAAGAAGTTGAGAGGAACTCGGAAGCAGCCTGGAAGTTTTGCATTACCTGTTCATAGTGCGTCTCGACAAACTGCAGTTCGGGGAGGCAGAGTTCGACCTCGGCATGCACGTCTGGTTCGGGCTGCATCGCCAGCGTGATCACCGGTGCACATGTCGGACGAACCTCGAATGAGTACTGGTGAGAGAGGAACGGGAGGCCTGCGTGGTCTGGTCACCATCCAAATTGCACAAAAAACAGGTGTTATGCAGCTTATACCAACGCCAAAGTTGCTTCCGGAGTGTGTGAAACAAGAAAAATCAGCCAAGTAGCAATAGAAAGAAGACTGACTTGTGTTTCTGGACCGCCGAAAGGGTCCACACCCTTCGACGCCGTAGCCGCACATGAGGGCAATATCGTAGGTTTTATGCCGCCGGCGCACCCGCTTATCATTCTGTTTGGGGTGAGTAGGTCCCCCAACTCGCACCTTATATACCCAATACAAGTCACATGGACCGGAACGTCACCGAGGTCGATGAACCTAGAACCGCCTTCCTCTAACGGCTCGTATCAGTTAATACATCTACCGTGAGTCAGCCATGTAGCTCGTCAAAGGAGTTACATACAGTGTAAGGCAGCCTCAACAAGAACAGACGGTGCGAACTGGGCAAGTTGACGCGCGTTACGGGCTTGGTGGGTATTCTCGAATTCGTCCCATTCGACGTCTTCAGACTCCTCCAGCATTATCGCGTCACGGAGGCTTTGGAGTGCGATGCCAGGTGTACTTGAGAGCAAACGATAGCCTTCGGCGATGATCGTCTGTAACCTTGCGAGCTCGCCAAGGCGTCCCTGGTACTCCCCTTCGCTTGGTGAACTCGTCCCAAGATTCTTCCACATCTCGTCGGTGATGGTGGCTTTCGTCACTTTGGTCGTCCGAGGAGGTCCGTAAGGTATGCACCTTGCCTTTCAGTTTCACCTACTGCTCCGCATTGACACGACTCACACACGAGAGCTTGCATCGAGTAGGAAGGTGAGCCGAGCAATATCGGCTGAAAACAATCCTACTGAGGGTCGGAGAGCAGGTGCTCGGTGCATTGAAGTACGGCCGGCAACATCAAGTCGTGTCAAGAGAAGGAATGAATCGACGCAGTGTCGTCCTTCATCGTGTTGGAGTGTACATGCTTGGCTCCCAGGAACGGCGGCGCGCGATCTCCGCGAGGACGAGTGAACTGAACCTTCTGTGAAAGGTTGAGGAAAGCTTGGAGAAACGTTGTCAGAATTTCGGGGCAAGAGAAGGTCAACGCACCAAGAACATTCGGAGTTTGTTTCAACAAGTAAAAGTCGTGCAGCAGGCTATCCCATGGCAATCTGCCCACAGAAGACCTCGAGTCGCCACCGCTGGGATCGTTATACTCTTCTCCGTTCTCGCAAGGAAACGGGAGGATTTGGAGAAAACGTTGGAGATGACTGGCAACAGCGGAAGAGTATGCGGAGGCAGACCTAGAGTCGATTCCAAAGTACAAGTCGATAAAATACAGAATTAACAAAGGAATAGATACGGAATACAGCCCACGGCGCGACTACTTCGCTGGTGTAGCCGACGAGAACTTGGTAACCGACTTGGTCTAGAAAGAAGAGAATGTAAGCAGATGATAAGACGAAGAGACAGGCCGACGTACACCCTCGCTAATCGCGTGCTTGGCCAGCTCTCCAGGTAGGATCAGTCGGACAGAGGTCTGGATCTCGCGAGAGGAGATGGTGGACTTTTTCGAGTATTGTGCGAGTTCTGAGAGCGAGGCAGATTAGAGACGTTATAGAAAGAGACAAGAACACGCACTGGATGCCTCGGTGGCAATGCGCTCGAAGATGTCATTGACGAACGAGTTCAGGATGGCCATGGCCTTGTTCGAGATACCCGTGTCGGGGTGGACCTGCTTAAGGACTGGCGACTGTTAGAACGAGACGAGCTACAGCCAAAGACACGCACCCTTGTAGATGTAAGACGAGTATGTCTCCTTGCGGGCCTTCTTGCGCTTCTTCTTCTCGCCGTCTGCTGGTGCTGCTGCCTTTGCCGTCTTCTTGCCCGCCTTCTTCTCGGTTGTCTTGGACGGGGCTTTGGAGGCGGTGGCAGGAGCCTTGGAGGCGGTAGAGGCAGGGGCCTTGCCGGCGGTGGATGCGGGTTTGGGGGCCATGTGTGCGAGTGGGTGTGTGGTGGTGGTGGGCGAAAGTTGAAAGTCGCGATGATGTTCCTCGGCTACTTATAGCAACGCGTAACGATGGCCTTGTTTGGCTCTGTCAACAAACGCGTTGCGCGACGTGACTTTGTTGATCTCGGAAGTCTTTAAAAGCAGCTGGGACCGTCACACTTGCTCAACGCTTTCTTCCGACCACCACCAACCAACCAACCCACTCTACACTCGAAATGTCTGGCAAAGTCAGCGGAAAATCCAAGTCCGGCAAAGCCGCAGGCGCTGGTGGCGAAGGCAAATCCCAGTCGCGTTCGTCCAAAGCCGGCCTCCAGTTCCCTGTCGGTCGTATCCATCGTCTCTTGAAGAAGGGCAACTACGCTCAGCGCGTTGGTGCCGGTGCTCCCGGTGCGTTCTTCTCTTTCACGTCTTATCTACTCGTTTCTGACTGCTATTCTCAGTCTACCTCGCCGCTGTTCTCGAATATCTTGCTGCCGAGATCCTCGAACTCGCTGGCAACGCCGCTCGTGACAACAAGAAGCACCGTATCGTGCCTCGTCACCTTCAGCTCGCCATCCGCAACGACGAGGAGCTGGGCAAGGTGTGTACCTTGGCTCGCTCTTTCTTCTGCGACTCATTCTCTGCAGCTCCTTGGCTCCGTCGTCATCTCCCAGGGTGGTGTTGTCCCTCACATCGATCCCTCATTGCTGCCCACGGCAACAGGCAAGAAGGGCAAGGCTTCGCAGGAGGCTTAGACGGAGTTTCTCTTTCTTACTTTATCTCTCCTCCATTTGTACCATGTACCATTAATGGTCGATTTGTATTGGCACCATTCAGTGCGTCCGTCCACCTTTATTGGAAGTAGACTCGTCTGTTCTGAGTCACGATCCCATTTCGCGCTTCTTGGCCACTTCGATGACCATTCGAGTCGGTCCGAAGTGAACAGCTTGGTGCGCTCCTTGCTCTCTTCCTCCATCAAGTGAAACCGACCGTCGTACAACTCTAAAGCCTGCGTTTTCACTGCAACGGCTGGACACGGTCGCAAAAGCTGGAGTATCCAGTCTACACGAGGTGTGTTCAGTCGCTCCCTGAGCTCACGAATCAACATTTTCCTTGCAGTCTTCCAATACTCGCCCTGATTCATTGCTTCAACTCCACCGGCGCTGTGCGAGGCACGTTTTCTTTGGCGCCGTCGTCCACACCCGGAATGGTAGACTCGGGCTTGAGCTGACTGGAGCGTCTCAATATCCCTCAGCGACAATTCTCCGCGATGTCCGGTTCTGCCTTCAACGACGCAACTAACACCAACCCCTTCTTGCGACAATGACGCCAAGAGTCGTGTCCACCGTCGAAGACTATGCGATTGAGAGGAGCCCAAGTACAAAATTTCGCACCTGGTGTGTTGATTCCGCCAAACCGGTCTTATTGTTAGCTCAGTAGTTCCCTCAGCGTCCTCAGCTCTCGACAACTGGCGTAGTGCGTTGTCCAGCAAGCCCTGAACAGCTCTCGACGAATATCCTCCGCTGCAAATTTCGTCGACGCCTACTTTCGTGACCGGTTGTGCCGGGTGGAAGTATCCGCTTCGCATATATCTCAAGCTCGCAATGTCCGTCGATATCAAGCTCAGCTCCGGTGTTTCGGTCGCCGACGTAGAGCGCATCCACAATTCGGCACATCCGTCACGCGTCGGATCCTGTGCGTCTCTTGCCAATGATCCTCTTAATACCAACGATTTCTTCAGGCTCAAGCAGAGAAGCTCTGGACAGTCAGCGAGAATTTAGTCGGCGTCAAGTTTCTCAGCTAGTTGAATGAACTTGAAATGGAACAATCGTCTCCGAGCAACATCCCTCTTTCGGAGTCTTTCCTATCTTGAATCACCAGCGTGCACCAGACGGACGCAAAATCGGCGGAACAGACATATCGTTGGCCTTCCCATCGGCGGCGGCCACCCGGCGCTGGTTCTTGAACGTATTCGCGTGCGTGAGACGAGAGAGGGCGTCGTCCATGTCAGGTGCTGCGTTGGCCTCACTGTACCGTGGCGGCGGGCGTCCGTTGTCTCCATACGCGTGTTTCTCGGACGACTGGCTGAGACCATCGATAGAGGCGCGCGGCCAGACGGACTTGATGTCTTTAAACATAGACGAGCTGCGACGGCGTTTGTGGCGGGTGTACGACTTTATTTGGCGAGATAAGATTTTGAGATTAGGATAAGATAAGATACGACGACGGACCTTGGGATTGGTAGCGAGGTGGGC